TGGTGGTTGGAAACATTTATACATTTTTCATAGAGCTAAACAAACAGATTTGGATGCATATAGTAAAGAGGGTCAATTTAAATAGAAGGGATTATTACTGCTAAATTGGTTGTGTTATATTTTGTTTTCGTGCAAGTCCTTACTTTCCAGAATTAGTGACAAAACGAGTGCATTCTGCATTTTTTTATTATTTGGTCACGGCTGGAGACATGGGCATGACGCGGTCTGACGTGACAGTTTCTAGAAGGTCAGTCAGCGACGGTTTCTAGAAGACTTTCTCCGCACGCCTTCTGGAAGATTGACGAACAGAGTTGCATTAGGAGACTAGTTTAAGTTTGAATTTAAATTTAAAACAATTATCTTTTAAGATTATTTTATTTATTTTCTTTGTTTATCTCTTAGGCTTTGAGAGGCTATAAATATCCACTTGGGGTAAACTTAAACTCATCACTCAAATTAAATTCTTCTTTTCTCTCTAGTTTTATTAAAGTTTTCTCTTTTTACTTTTCAAGTTTTTCCTTTTTTCTTTTATTTTCAAGCTTTGTTTTCAAAATGCTAAGTAACACTTTTGTCATGTTTAGCTAAACTTTTCAAAAGCCGAGAGATGTTGCGATGACTCAATTCTAACGGGATAATTGAAACGGTCCCTTAATATCTTCGAAATATCTCTCTCAATCTCTGCGCTTATTCTTTTTCAAAATCAAAACAATTTTCAAAATCAAAGATTAACTTTGGTCAAGAGGTTGTTGCGATTAAATGTGTGAGAGGAAGATTCGGCTTATAGAAAGCAATTCGACTTCCTGGGAACACACTTGGCGAGATAGTTTCGCCAAGAAGGATTTGAGATCGGAATTGACGGTTATAGAAGCAACAATCCGAGTCGGACGCCACGAACTTAAACGGTAATTGATTTACGACAATTGATGTCGTTAGAATCAATTCCCGAAGTCGGAATCAAAGATTGCCTTGGGTATTCGGTATACAAGATAGAGTCACAGAGATAGTCCTTGTAGATAAAGTAACCGACGTGAATCTCGAAGGGAAAATCTAATTCGATGATCTAAAGGAAATTGAGTCAAAGCGAAGCTTGAGGCTACTTTTACCGAATTTATTCACAATCTTCATCTTCTTATTTTTACTTTAATTACTTTTATTTATTTAATCGCTTTTATTATTTTAATATTTTTTTACCAAAATTCCCCCCATTTCTGCTGTTTCAGGCCTGGCATAAATAAATCAGACAGAAATTTATAATTTTCTAAGTTACTGTGAAATCGACCCTTACTTCTCTTTACTACGTATTTCCTTTATTTATTAATTGAGAATAAGGAATTTATTTGACATCAAAACGACGGGTGTCACTCCCCTATTCATGGCAATCTGAATTACTATATCCAACTCATATTTTAAGTATTCCTATATTCTCAAAACTAATCCAATACTTTTTTTTGTAAAAGAAAAGATCAAATGGACAGATTTGAAGTTGTAATATTAGTGAGATTCTTGAAGTAGCACAAAATAATAGGCACAAAAAACATTTTGAAGATTATGATCACAAGTGAGAAGACTGGTCCAAAGTTTGGACCATATATATCCATACAAAGCAGCACAAAATCACGGAAGATCACGTCCAACCCTAAATTTACTTACAGTTTCAGACACCAGAATGTTTACAGTTGCACTGCTTCTGCTTCTCCGGAGTACCATCTTTAAGTTTAGTTGCACTTGGTTTTACTTTTGGCGATTCTGGTTTTCTGAAGCAAGCAAGAACTATGAAAATAATGAAGTTTTAGTACATGTAACTAACTTTCATTAAAACAACGACATATAAAAAAATAAACAAAATTTACCAGAGTTTGATTCAAATGATAACTGAAACTAAAGAGCGAATTTTGAAGCATGTGATAATAAGATGTGAGGGAAGACCGTATCCAAGACTTATCATTACACTCTCAAAAAAGGAAAAGAAATATAGAAAAGGGAGTTAATTTTATTAAAATAATTATATTAATCCACAAAAAATAACAGACTAAAAGAAGAAGAAAATCACAAATTTTGATTGCAAAAACTTACAGAACTCTCGACGATGCTGTAGTAAGAGGATGAGGTTGCACAGCGGCCGCAGGAGAGGTCGCCACCCTCTGCGGTAGCTTTATCTGTTGTTATAGTTGCTGCTGCTGTTGCTGAGTAACTGTAGCAGCCGCCACATTCGAAGGTGTAGCGACACCCATACCTTGCGTCGATTGCGGGTGTTCCGGTAAAACTAAACCACCAGAAAACCCCCGCCGAAACCGGCCGTGAAATCCAGCTGCCTTGCAAGCTTCTTCGCCGGAAAACCTGCCGTATTGCATTGTAACTTTTTTGGCGGGAACCCACCTCCTTCTCTTTCCCCCATCTAATTCCAACTCCTTCGAATTTAAAAAAAAATCATAATCATATTCGAATCTTTTTTCCAATCACCCCTACACAGCGAAAGCTGAAAATCAACCGAAAAATCTCACAAATTGCCTTAATTAAACTCGAATTCAACCTCTTTCAGATCCAAATCCTAATCCACAATCTCCAAGACCTAAAATTCCAAAAGTGAACACCAAAATTTCTCCAAGCTCGATATTTCCTCCACGAAGTTCCAGAAACAAAGATTTTGATTCCGATCGTCGCATAGAGAGAGAGTCAAAGAGAAAAGCTAGAGTTTTTCTCTAAGCATCTTATATTGAAAAAAAAAAAAGAGAGAAATTTAAAAAACTGAAATTTGTTGTTGTTTCTTCTTCATCATCTTCTTCTTCCTCGGTTCTCTCCTCCCTCTCTTGCTAAGTTTTGAAATTTCAATTTTTTTCATTTGTGTGTGTTTTTATTGAATGGTGAGATTCGAACCGGATTTTGTATCCGACGGTTCACGTTGAAATAATTAATCTGACGGTTGAAATCTATAGGAGTAAGTGTTGTCAGCTGGTGAGCGTTGGATCTGATTAAACACAAAGTGTTTGGTGAAAATAATTGAAAGGTCCCTATACTATTGAAACTGATTTAAATTAGTTTTTTTAATTATATAGAGTAATTTAATCCGTGACATAAAAAATTCAAATTAGGTCAAACTTTTACATTATTAATATTTTTAAAACATTTATGATGCTGCAAATGAAATCTTTTGTTTTTATATGATTAATTTAACCAAATATTTTTTACGTTTCATTCTATTACTGTATATATAACTGCTCAAATATAAGATCTTTAAAAAGAATAACATTCTATTTAACTATTGAATTTTTTTAATTTTTTTGTGTATATTTATTTATATTAGAATTATATTAATTTAACAATTAATTTCTTTAACGAGTGATAATTGGAATAAAAAAAACGGTAAAGACTTCAACAAGATAATTCAATTCCTACAAGTTAATTTTTCAGCAAAATACACACGCAAAAACAGAGTTGAGCGATAAAACACTAATAGATACATGAGGGAATGAACAATTCCCTCCATCATTCTTCCAGTCAGTTTCGTCTCTCCACCACCATGTCACCGATTCGCAACCCTTGTCGACAACCACTGTCTCCGAATTTAACTATCACACCCTCCGCAGATCAAACTCCTGCAAACAGACATGTGCCCTCGTATTGTTCAAAATATTTGTGTCCGACACATATTCGACCATGTGTATAAAAATATAACCCTTAACATGAATGGAGCATGCCTTTCTTGGACATGAACATATCTTTAAGCAACCAAAATTGGAAAAAGAACGCACTACACTTACGCAAGGTAACAGCCGGATCTTTGGCGGCGTTTCTGTCTTGTCGCCTCTTTCTTCCTCGGAGGCTGAAGAACAGCCTTGATTGCGGTATCGAAAACGGCTTTCACATTCTGATCCAATGCATCAACAAAGATCGAGTCGTATATCTGTTAAAACATGAAGGATGTGCATTTACAAGCTATAACCATAGATGACACTGAATTCACCTGCTGAGTTTTCGAGCTGCATTCGATATAAGCCGCCGCACCGATTTGTTTCCTCAGTTCTTCACCCTGTGTAAACCATTTATGTCCATATAAATTATTTTAAATTACGGTTACGGTTGTGTTTTCGGTTACTATCGTATGATATACAGGAACCAATGTAAAGCTGATGTGAAAAAGCATACCTGAGCAGATGTTATAATATCATATCCCATTTGATCAGCAATATATGCTCGATCTCCCCGAAGATCTGATTTATATAGGAAAAAAGGCATTATTCAAGAATACTCGAAGGAACATTAAACGAATGTGATCACGAATAGCGGCCTACCTAGCTTCGTTCCGACAAGAACAATCGGAACATTTGGTGCAAAACGACGTAGTTCAGGCATCCACTGTGAACAGATTAAAATGGAGTTTTAGAGAATTGTATTAACGTTTTGTTCCTAGGAAAATGCAAAGACAACAACCTTCTTGAGAACATTTTCATAGCTTGCTCTGCTGATTAAAGAGAAAGCTAAGACAAATATGTCTGCACCTCGGTAACTCAGTGGCCTTAACCGGCTATAATCTTCTTGACCTTTTCATGGAAAATGGAGAAATCAAATCAGAAATGAAAAGAAAAAACAGATTTTTCCCTTCAACCAAACACAGAAAACAACTCAAAACAAACCTGCAGTATCCCATAAACCCAGATTAACAATGCTCCCATCTACAGCCACATTGGCACTGAAATTATCAAACACCGTCGGTATATAATCCTGAGACACAAAGGGAAAAAAGAAACCAAGATAGTAAAATAGCCCAAGAAAATGAAATGACTTCAAGGAAAAACCAAAAAAAGGAAGTTGTTCTTACAGTGGGGAACTTGTTGCTGGTGTAACAAATGAGCATACATGTTTTTCCAACAGCTCCATCTCCAACAGTGACACATTTAATGAACCTCGAAGCACTCATCTTCTCAAAATGCCCTGAAAAGTTGAAGGAGAAAGTGTGCTTTAGATGATGGGATAGCTTCTGTTGTTGTAGTTTCCAGAGGGAGCACTTTATTTATCCATCCATCCATCCCTCTCAATTTATTTCAAAAATCCAAACAGAAAATGCTTTTGAAATGCAGAAAAATGGGGGCCCAACTGTTTCTCTCAAACGGGCACCTATAGGGGATATGACTCTTAATTGTTCGCTTTCTAGCTTATATGTTCTTATCTATGCTCCAAATAAAAAAGACAAAACAACAGTTGTGGGAGAATGGTTTCTTTAATACATCCCGATTTTTAAACAGTTTTTCGAAATGAATGCGACCGTTGGATTCACTCAATTTTTTATAACACCGACCTAGGTTTACGTCCTCTTGTCTTTTTATCATGTATAAAAGGACAAGATCTCACCGTTAAATTACCTTGATCCCTGTTGACAAATATAATGTGGTGTTGTTTTACAACACATTGATAATGATTGTAACAAGTAATGGCGTGTGTAAAAAGTATTTTTTTACCTTTCTTGGTCGTCAAGTTCTCAACTTTTTACTGAAAAACAGTGGACCGTTTTATTGGGGGCTGTGAATTTTGTGTTGTTGCATTTATGTATGAAGGTAAGGTTTGTTGGACACCATTAATGGCTTAGCAAATTCTCCTCTGCATTGAAGAGATTCTGTCCTTTTCACCTACCTCTGAATTATGGTAAGAAATTGAATGTTCATTTGAAAAAAAAAATGGATTTATGATGAATTGAAAGAATTTTTTTAATAACCTATACAATAGTCCTATGAATTTCATTATATTTTGAATAAGATATTTTAATCGGTCAAACTTCTTCAACTAAACAAATTAATGAAAGCATATACATAGTAAACAAATTGAAGATTCCAACTTTTTCTTTTGGGTTAGTACACAAATGTCCCCTTAGTATATGATGTTACTTTGTTGAGTTCATTGACTATTAAAAGTTAAGAAATGTTCCATTGACTATAGGACATTACTTTGTTGAGTCTTTGTCCATAAAAAGTTACAAAATTATCACCCGACTATTCGTATGTACAAAACTCTTCATTCTTTGTTAAAAAATTGACGGCATTCTAAACTGGACATTAACATGCTCAGATTATCATCAATTTTTTTAACAAAATAAATGGATTTAGAACATATGAATAGTCGATTGACAATTTTGTAACTTTTCATAATCGAGGGACTCAACAAAATAACACCTTATAGTTGAGGGACCATTTTCTAATTTTTAATAATCAGAGGGTTCAAAAAATATTATCCTATAGTCGAGGGACCATTTGTGTATTTTTACCCTTTCCTTTTTCACAAAATATTCGTGCCCGACATTTTTTAGATATGAGCATGAAAAATAATTATTCGTATCTAACTATTATATCGAGTCTGTTAAAAAAACTATTATATCGAGTCCAAATTGCATGGTAAAAAACACCAACTTCTATTATGAATTCAATTATAACTAGTAGCCACTATTATAAATATCAAAAGATGGTATAAGATGGATAGGAATTCCAAGGCCAAGATGAGACAACTATATGCACAAAACAACTCTAAAAGAGCTTCATGAATGTCATCAACACTATATTCACCTACAACTACGGATCCAACATTTGCAGCCTTCCTTTCAGGTCCTCCATCGATAGAGCGAACCTCCCGGGACGATTACCAAGCCCGTTCTTGCTTAGGTCAACCTCAAGACCACGGAGATGGGTATATGTTGCTCAACCATCTGCTAGAAACTTTGCAGGAAAGTTTCAGCCCATGCCTTCATCACAGGGGTCTCATCCACAGCAAATTCAAAACAATACTAAAACTCAAATTACAGGACCTCGCAAATGCTACAATGCTAGAGCTAAATCTCTTCTCTAAACGGACCCAGTATGCTCCATTAACGGGTCTAGATGTTATATGATTACCATGGTCATATGAGTAACAAATAAAGAAAATAATGATATGAATATAATTGGAAGAAAAGTCGGACCAGAAGAAGAAAATTGTTTCAGGAAATAGAACTCCAATAAATTATTTTGGTGCAGCAAGGTGAAAATGAATCCCTTGTGCCAAATTTTGTCACCAAAACATTTCAATGTTGCAACAGAATAAAAAAAGGTTCGAATTGTCACAGTTTGGCATATTATTTAAAGTTTGGTTTATTTTAGAATTCAAAACAATGAAATCTAAGCTTTAACTAACAAGGACCAAAAATGCAAAAAAAAAACCCCGAATAAATAACTAAAAGAGCTTTTTCAAAGTGTACACTGAACTATTGCAGAAGTATCGCATCGCATGACATATTATTTATAAATTCATCAATCAAGATTATATTTATACCTTGGTTTCTCCATTGCTGCATTGAGCTTTTAACCTTTAGGGTAGTCTCATCCATCGGTACCTATATGGTAGCAGGGTTAGGCGATTTATCATCTATACCAGCACTGTGATTTTGCGAAAGCTGGTAAATCAGGACTGAAAACACGAAAATAGAAAAACATCATAAGACCATGTTTCATCAGGTCTTGTCTTGAAGATAAAACTACCATGGTATAGAATCATATAAGTTGTTCCAAACGAAGCATAATACCAGTTTAAGCAGTTCCGCAAGAACCCCTTAGTTTAAGGGTTGTTAGGATTGGGAAAACAATTTGGCCATGGTCAACCAACAAGGCATTGTGCTAGCAGCCTGTAAAAAATACTATAACAGGACCAGATAGTTTGGTTCTGAAGGCATACAACTTTCTTATATCTTGTTAGGTGTTTAGCATCAGCTGTAAAAACAGACCTAAAAGAGGGGGGGGGGATTGCAACATGTATCACATAGAAGACCAAGAAAATGACTGCTTGCAAAAATTATTAGTCAATAAACACATGCAGGATAATCAAATCAATATCAAGTCATTAAAGCCAATATAGAGAGGGGATTTCATACATATGATGAGTAACAATTCACATTATGTGTGACCAATAACGTCATAAGACGTACCTGAAGCAAAATGGTAAAGTGAAAATTTACTACCTGGAAATATATCTCCATTGGTAATTTTCAACCACAGCTTTTTGATTTTCTGATAACGCATGTGAGATTGCATATAATGTCTCCAACAAATTGATGCTAGAGAAATCTGCAATACCCTAAAGTAGTTCCTAGGAACATTATTAAGACTTTTGAGAAAGATTTGATTCCTTCATAGTATATCTATCAATAAGGTAAACTTCTGAACATAAACCTGTACATCTTCTTCTACCAAACAGTAACCAGTGAGGAAAATTAGCAAATTAGCTTCCGGAAAAAAAGGCTAATGACCGAACCTAGTAAATTACATAAATCCGGTCCAAGAATGGAAGGACATGGAAAAGCTCAATGTACAGGTAAGAAACAAAAAATAGCTCATCAAATGAACAAGGAACAAAATGTTTGTTTTTGCAGACTTGATCATATTGATAACAACAAGGAGGAAGATCATAAATATTTGAGTGTAAAGAATTGCAATTTCTCAATTTCTTAGATGTCTCATTATCGTAATACATAAAACCTGAAAACTTCAAGAGATTATCCCTTTTCATGTGAGATTAAATAGAAATCTTGAAATTAATATGAAGTCCATAAAGAAAAGCTCGTTCTTCTCTAAGACTAGAAAAGGCAATAGCTCCAAAAAAATTAGGAGTAGCAAAATTAAGCTTGTGAAGAATTTCATAAAAGAATAAAATATGATTAAAATAGATACTGCAACCTATATGCCTAACAAAAAATTGAACTTCCCCAAAACAAAGGACTTCCAACAAAATTCAGAAACTCCTACCTTTCAGAGAAAGTGGTAATTAGAAGTACCAGTTAGACCGAAGCACAAGTGCCAGGGTTCTGGAATTTCCATCTACTAAATAAGCAACACCTGGCTTTAAGCTAAATTTCTTACCCAGGTTAAGTTTCACATAGGATTCAATCTGATAGTGGTCCCAATTTCTGGGACCTTCAACAATGCCCCCAACACTCACACCCCAACCAAATACATCTTCTGAAGAATCAGACAAATTAACAGCCCATTGTAAAACTCTTGGATTTGCTAGTTTCATCTCAATCCAACCTCCAAGTCTTTGGTATTCATCAAGTTCTGACTCCAGCTTCAGGGCAATAGATCCATGCGGGGTGTTTGTTGTCAAAGGTGGAATAGGTGCCTCGATTACTGTATCAGAATCTTCAACATGTCTAGACAATCCAAGTGGAATCGCATGGGCTCCAAGGCGGAAATTACGACTTACCAATTTAGGCCCTCGGCGAAGGCCTAAAAGTGAGAGTTTCAATCTAATCGGAAGTTGACAAACGACTTGTCCAAAAGTACTGAAGCAATGCTCATCATTTCCCATTCTACATACCGATTGAGCCAGCGAAGCAATGATATTCGACCTTCTGACTTCCACCCCAATAGCACCTCCACTATGCTGATGCAACAGAGGTGGCCCAATTGATAAATCAGTGAGGCCTTTTTCATCCTAGACAACAAACAAAATCCATTTCAGAACAACAACTAAAAGCTCATATATCAATTATGGAATCCAACCAAGAGTGAAAAGTAAAATTCAAACAGACCAGTGGAATCTACTGAAGATTACATTAAAAAAAATATATGGTTTGCACAGTTCAACCAAAACAATTCTCAACATTATAACTTATAAGCATAAACAAAAACTAACAGTGAGCTCCTATAAGAAATCTCAATGGTATTCGGATTAGTTACCTGAAGGGAGAATTCCGAGGCAATATCCAAATCTCTAAACTGAGCTCCAAATGGAATTACCACAGCAGAAAACCAATCACCGTTATTTCCTTTATAAAACAACTTAGATAGCGTAAGTGAGGTTCCATATACATCTCCAATGTTATCTTCGATCATTTTCTGATTAGACATAAATTCAACCCCAAAGGTATCTTTTTCACCAACGGTCGTTTCAAATCGAAACTTGGAATTGACCCTAGTTCTGATTCCCGTCCGACCAACCCCGCCCCAATGTCCTTCGTCAGCATTTGACATTAACAATACGGCCGCCATGAAATCAACTTCCCCTCTCAAAAGGGTATTTGATCCTTGTAATGGATTCGCTTTCGATGCTTTGTAAAACGAAAGTAAACGTTCGACTCTGTCTTGTCGTTCTCGGAGCTTCATCAGGTCTGAAAATGATTCTCGCTGCAACCTTTTCAGGATTTCAATCTTTAAAAGAAAAACTAGAATCAATAAGAAGAAGAAGAAGAAGAGGTACCCAGAAAAGAACAGAGAAAAGGAGTATGCATTACCGGATTGCGGCGAGATGAGTAATCACGGCCTTTAATGAAGTCGTTGACGAGCTCCTTCATTTTCTCCACCCCAGAAACTATGGGATTCATTTTCTCGAAGCCTTTCTGTTGTTTTCGAGTGTTCTGGATGAAGGAACCGGTGGAAAGGGGATTTTGATTCCGTTATTTCAAAAGCGGGACCGGCCGGATTTGTTTGTGGGCTTTATTGGTTCCGTTATTTTAAAGTGGGTTTTGGATGAAGGAACCGGTTTTAAAAAGTTATTATTAATAATCTTAAATACTATGATTTTAAAATATTAATAAAATAAAATAATAATGAATACCAATTTAAAAGTAAAAGCGAATTGAAAATAAAATAATTAATCGATATATACAAAAAATATAACTTTTAATAAATTTTGGTTTCGATGTCTAAATTAATTATGGACTATGAATATTTTTACACCTCATGATAAGTTAATTATATTAATTAAAATTAATTTCAATTTTAGGTTCGAATTCTATGTATATCAAAAGTACGAGTGTTTAATATCAAATCATTAAAAGTTTTTTAATAGATATTACCTTATATTCACCTCATGTCTTCGTGTTAATAAAAAAAATATACTAATCAAAGAAGTCTTAAACTATTTTTCCTTGTGTATAAATTAATTACGAGAACAGTCTGACATTAATTATTATGGAATGAGTAATCCTTATAAAACAATTTTTAATAATTGTATGATTGAAAAAGATCTGACTCAAATCAATAGACTCAACTGGATGAATCATTTTGTTTATATTGTTTGTTTGTTTTTTTCTAATAAAAACGATGGATTATGATATAAAATATTAATTGACAATATATAAAATTATAAATTTACGTTACACCTCATATAAATAAAAAATATGTAGAGTTTCGAGCTTAAATCATCTAGTCACTTAATTTAACACACAAAATATCTACAAAATAGTTCAAAAGAAAGAAACATTGGTATAGCATCAAAAGCAATCAGCCTTTCATATTTGTTTTCTGCAGAGTGACTGCTCATGATGCTATATCTTTTTCTCCCATGAAAATCTCTCGTCTCTTTGCTCCCTACATTTCTTGAATTTGTTTAGCCTTTCTGGACAGTTCCAAAAGTCTTCGACCGAAACCCACCGCCGAACACCGGAGCCCAATAATCGGCGCCATTGTCGCTGTCGACATGAAGTGTGCATGACACAGGAACCAAACATAGACCTCTACTCCTCAGGTCCTTTGGTTCTTCATGACATTCCTATATAAATGAGAGAAAAATGAAATTTGCTATTTCCATTTTTTATTATAATGCAAGTGTGTTTTTTATAAAAGAAAATGGAAAGTATTAAGAATTTTTTTAAAATTATATAGTATTAATTTTAGTTGTCAAGAATTACGTGCTGATAAGGACCACCTTTCCACTTCATGGAGTTTTCATTCAACACCTGCACAATTTAAAAGAGCATTAGCATTTTAATTCTTTTGTCAAACTAAAGCATTTTAATTAATTAATTAATTAAAAGAGTTTATTTTAATTAAGAGTGTAGCTAAGCCATAAATCTAACAACATTGTTCTTTTGAAACCGTCTTTAATGGTTTTTTAGGGGATAAAAGTTATTGGTGGGATGGGTTGAACTTTTTATTGTCAGGCACAATTATCATTTTTTTATACGATAAAATAACACAATAAAGCTTATTACCTCTCCACTTTAACCTAATAACAAAATCATCATCATAATCATTAAGCAATTAATACCGATATAAATATATATATATTTTCATGCAGACATGCAGAGCAATTAATACCAACATATATATATATATATATATTCTCATGCAGACAAGCAGAGAAAAAAATGGAGGAATCTGAGAATCTAAGTAACACGTATATGTTCTTACAGGCTGTTGTTGCCTTATGTTTCCTTGCCCATTGCCCATGTACGGCAAGCTGAGAGCCTACAAAAAGAAGAAAAGAAAAACGAAACATCGTGAGAAAAAACAGTGTGGCGTTAATGTTGTTTATGAGTTTCGTGGTTGCCTGCAAAAGAGAAAAAGAAACAAATTTACCTCAATTTGACTATGAAGGAATCTGATGTACCCAACAGCTTCTAACAAGACAGAGGCTGTGTTAGTCTGCAAAAGACATGAAAATATATCACACCACAAACCTCCAAACTCTTTTTAATGTTTCTTTAATATGAAATACACCCTAAATGATCAAATCACTAGTTTGGTTGTAAACTGTTATTTTTCAAATATATATAATTGAAATATTATTACAAATATCTTACGTGTCCTACCAAAATTTTGGTATACTCAAACTGACTCCAGCATTCTACCCCTTCACTCGTCATTTGACTAGAGTTAGGTTTAAGGCTTGTAATCGAACTTGATTTTTAAGGTAAAATTCACACTTGATACGATTCGACCCGATATATATATATATATAATTTTATTTTGGCTTAAGGACTACTATTGTTCCTGTAGTAAACTCAATCTATTAATTTCGTTCCTATCATTTTTTATCAATTTCGCTCTCGAAGTTATTTAGGGTGTTTATCACCCTCGAAGTCTGTTTTGAATAACAGTATGTTAGTCTTTTGTGTTTATCAACACTAGTAATTTTCAAATCAACCAATATTACAAATGTTGTTTGATGATAACGTGACATGTATTAAAAAATAAATAATAAAATATTTATGAAAACAACATTCAGAAAAAATCCCCAAAAAATGACATAGTTCGTTAATCTCACTGAAATAAATAATAATTTTTTGGGAACTTGTTATAATCATTGTGTTTAATAAAATAATTTCAACTTAATCAACAGACGCAAAAGCCCCACAGTTCTGTTAGTCTAAATGGTCAGCAGACTTCAAGGGCTAAAATGAATACCTTAAACAACTTCGAGGGCTAAATTAATGAAAAAAATGATAGAGGTGAAATTAATAATTTGATTTTACTACATGGGCTAAATAAGATCTCAATTGAAAAATATACAGAGAGATAAGTATTATTGTAATTTTCTCTAAATATATAAGGGGTAATTATATTTTTATGGGTAGGTCATATTTTCAACTTAAAATCGAACAAGATTCGATCCGACCTTATCATGCAAAATATTTGTCTCGACTCGAACCTAAATTTTCATAAAGAGAACTCAATACTTGTTAGATTCGAGTCTCATCCTCATCCCTACCGGTCACTTCTTTTAAATTGTTTATTTTTCTCTAAAAAAATATTATATTACTTTTATAGTATAATACTCTTTAATAATAACTTGTTATTGTTTTATATTAAAATGTAGTTATTTAATTATTTTTGACATCCGATTGACTCGTTTAATTAGATGATATCACATAAATTAAATTAATAGATTCTTTAAATATAAAAATAATTTTCTTAAATATTTCAAATCAAGATTAAAAATAACAGAATATACAACTTTTAATAATTAAATTATTACTATACTAATTATATATTATTCATGTGATTCAATTTTAACGATAAAGTATGATGTTTGCAATATATTTAAACTGAACGACCAAAAATAATAGAATATACAACTTTTAATAATTAAATTATTACTATACTAATTATATATTATTCATGTGATTCAATTTTAACGATAAAGTATGATGTTTGCAATATATTAAACTGAACGGCTAAAATATAATTTCTCAAACTTCATTGAATAACCCTAATTAAAAATACCTTCCCAAATGGAGAAACGAGCTGGTGAAGCGCTGTGATTCTGTCCCCTAATTTCTCCTTCCTCGCCTGTTAATACATATATAAAGTTGATTAATGATTTGATTTTCCCGTATAGAGAGAGAAAGAGATAAAGCAAGGCCAAAGGAATCATCATCTCCGAAGAAATAGACAAGCGAACAAGGACAAAATTTGTACCAGCCGACCAATGAGAGTGTGTGCTTGTTTTCTGGTTCAAGGGTATCTTGTATGAGTGTGCGTGCAATTTATGTTTATGTGAAGAATATGACAGAGATGGAAAAGAAAGAGAAATTTTACTGGGTTTTGTTTTCTGTACATTACCTTGAAGGTAGATTGACTTGCAGAAGGTTGAACCCTAGCTTTCTTCATCGCCCCACCGGCTGCACTGCTATTGCACTGATAACATCGACGAATACGAAAGACCATGAATTTTATATGGCTTGAAACAGATCTGGAAACTCTCTTTTTTTTCTTTTTTCTTTTTTGTTTCTTTGTTCCACTTACCTCAGAAGATCGCTCTGGGAGTGTTTGCCTTGCATCAGCTTGATTGCCGGAAAATTCCAACATATTATTACTGCTGAAACTCGTTACACATGACTTGGGGGATGATGATGATGAAGCAGCAGCCATTATTGGATGAGACCAAGCAGCTGGTTCATTTGCCTTATTCTGCTGCTGCTGCTGCTGATGATGATGATGATGAAAATCTTCATTTGCATGTCCGAACACATAGCTGCTTGCACTTGCTGGGTTTTCTTGCTTCACATAGTGCATCGCTTGTAATTGTTCTTCACCCATTAATTCACCTCTAGAAATAAACCACAAGTAACACAAAATAAGACGATGGAAAAACATGCATCATCTATGTATAATATCACACACACACACTCACAAAGTAGTGGATCAAAGTGAGAGAGAGTTTACAAGAGTAGTTGGCTCCATGACTGAGGAAGCTCGTGGTTATCATGCCAAGAAGGGATATGAAGTGAAGAAGAAGTGGGTCTGAATTGAGGGAAGAAAGTAGTCGGAAAGGGTGGTTGTTGTAGACGAAGCGGCTGCGGCGGCAGCGGTGGGCGCATGGTGTTGATGTTCCACCAGTTAGAGTTTCCGTTCGTCATCATCTGCTGCACTGGTGAGCTCTGCAACACTCCTCGGTTCATGGCGTTTCACTCCCCAATGAAACAACTAATGACGACAATAACGACGGTGGAGGAGGAGTTATCACTTAAAAGCTCTCTCTTTGTCTCTTTGTTCTTCGTTTTTTCTTACTCTTTTAATCGAAAACCCTGAAAGAAGTGTTTGAAGATGAAATTTAAGATGTCTTGCAGACTTTGGTTTAAGTAGAGGGGAAGAGAGAAGAAACCCAAAAGCTCTGTTCCTTCTGAAAATTTCTGAATCAATGGAGGTTTTGAGAACCTTTGGTTTCCTTTCTCTCTTTTATGTTTCTTGCTTTTTTTCCCTGCTTGTGCTTTAACTCAAAGTGACATAGAAAAAGAAAAAAAAAACCTGAAACGATTCTCAATTATTAATTATTAAAATATAAAGAAAAATTATGTGACACATTATGCATAAATCTTTTTTTATAAAATAAATATAAAATATAACTAAAAGTAATTATAATTTATAAAATATTAACAAAATAATATTCTCGGACAATTGGCAGAAACATACTGAGAGAGTATGTAAAAATATTCAATCAATCACTCACTATAAAATAATTAGTAAAATATTTCTTTTTTAAGTAAATTTAGTAAGATAAGACATCATATTTTTAAATAAGGTCATAAATTTAAATTTTGTAATTGTGAATAGAACAAATTTTATTAGGAGTTGCCTTAACTCTATAGTACTAGATCTAAATTAATCGTCAATAAATGAGATATAATAATTAATTAAAAAAATCCAACTAAAATAGTAAAATACAGATCGCAATGTACATTCTCACACCAGCCTACTTTATTTTATTAATTCCTTTTCTTTTTGTCTTCTTTCATAGTATGATCTAGAGAAAAATAATTCACACTTTGCTTTTTATACCTCAAACAAAAATATATATTATATTTATGCTTTATATAAAAAAATAATGAGTGGTTATTTCTGCATTAGCTTTTCCTTTTCTAGTCTCCATGTGTGGAAAGTAAGTTCGCTATATATATAGAGAACAAGTTTCAAAGGGTAAAGGCAAGCATAATATTATGTAATACAAATATAAAATAACATGAATTTTAGACAAAATTATAAATATTTATATATATATATATATATATATATAGTTTCAATATTACTAAATCACGATAAAGTAAATATATAATTAATTGTTAATTTAATGTCGGCTGATATTTTTAGATGAGATCTTCTAGTTTAAACTTCTTAAAAGAGTTTAAGTTTAAATAACAACGTGTTTGAGTTTATGGTGGAAATTTTATGATTTATTTTATTTAAAAGGTAGTAAAATCATTATTTATATATTTAAAGATTATTATAAAAATATCGTATGAAGTCTTCCTATACTATAGAGTGAGATCGAATGAGGGATGAGTGATAAAATAATTTGATCGACCAAAAATTTGATCCAATATATATTCATGTTAAATCTCGTCTTTTACAAATATCTTATTCTATGTTGATCATTTTCCAATTACAAATTTTTAACATAAATTACTTATAAATGTTTATCAAAATATTTTTTTAAATAAGTTACTCATGTCGTCAATTTTGAAATTATAATTTGTTAAATTAAAAATAATATAGATATATGATTTTACGTGTGAAAGTATTTGTTTATTTTCTGTTTTTGGATCACTCATTCATGAGTTGGAAATTTATTCAATTATAGTGATATATGACAATCATGGTGATTGGATTTTTCGTTACGCATTTCAAATAAAATATTAGTAATAATTGTTGGTTTGGTGAAATAATACAACAAATTTGTCAAGATGAAACTTGACGTTTTAGAAGTTATCAGGAGAAACTCAATAATCCAAGTTCAAGACTTGGGGGTCAACTTGTCGGCTCAATCCATTGGCTTAAAATTAAAGTGTTTGAAATTAGATTTTGTATGGGTGAGGTCGTTAGACTTTACTAATGATTATTATTATATGTGTCAATGAAGATAAGAGTATATTGATGTTATAATGATTAATTATTAATGAAATTAATTTAAGTAATATATTTAGTTTAATAACTAAACGACATCCTTTTTAAGAGGGTTAAAGGTTGAATTTTTCTATCCCAAACATATGCATTTTTTTTAAATTTTATCTTATTCATAAGATGGAAATGCATATAAAATTAATATAAAAATATCACTAGATATCATTTAATATAATTGTTAAAAAATAACGATAAATAATTAAAATAAAAATTCAAAGTTGGATATAAATTAAAAGATAAATGAAAAATAGAAAAAAAGTTGACACGAACCAATTTATCATAGTGGATAAAATAAACGTTAATATTCTTAGATATCACGAGTTCGAACACCAACGACTGTAAAAATAAATAAACACTAATGATAGAGAGTATTTGCACTAAATATTACTTTGTATAATAGTTTAATAAAAGAAATAAAACTCAAAAGTTGGGCCTACATCGGTAATTATTTCACTTTCGCTTTTCGTTTTTAAAATTGTAATTTTCTTTTGATTTTTTAAAAGAAAAATAGGCCAAAAATTGATGGTTTATATGATGGTGTAATCCTTACATCACCATGAGTCCAACCCGTCTGGGGTTGGGTTGCTTACTTTCTTTTTCAACCATGAATTATCACCCCTGGTTAACATTCAACCTCTTCATGAGTTAAGTCATATTGTGTTATGGGTTATTACCTTCTTTTAAAGAAAATATTTGATAGGATGTATAATCAATAATTAATGTATGATTTTGTACCGGGTGAGTTTATAAAATTTTAGAGATAAAAATAAATTATCAATAAAAATATATAAATTATATAAAAATTTAAAATTTTTAAGGTATAATGTCCCGACAACCCTTCATCGATCCATCTCTAATATAACACATCATTTTTAAATTTTATTATTTTCATTCCTTTTCATTTGAAATTAATATTTATCACCTCTTTAAGAGACAACACATATATTGTCTTCGTTAGTTGAAGTATTTATAGTTATGTGATATTTTTAACAATCCTTTACAAAGCATAAGAAGTAAAATTTTTGAACCTATCAAGTCATTTCAGTGGTAAAAGAGAAGATTAATTTTGTTAAAAGTCATGGATTCGAACAATTACGTCTGCAAGATATGTGTATGATGTCAATAAATTAAGAAAATTTTAAACATATACTATCTTATAATTACCCAAAAGTATTATAAATAAATAAATAAAATATTGACATTAAAACAATATTTTGATTATTTAAGATTTGATTGATTGTTTAATGGATGATATTAAAAAAATTTATTGAAAAAAAATTAAAGATCCATTAATAAAAAATATTTCATTTTGAATTTTTAATCATTTAATTAACGATTTTCTTATCATTTCTTATTTTTGTCTTTTATAATAAACAAAAGATAAAGGTAAAATTAATAAATACGGAAAATGTTAATAGATTTGTTGCCATTATGTCTGTACGTTTGAATCAATTACTAACACTTGTTTTTGTTCTTAAGACGAGCTTGTAATATTGTTTATTCAACGAAGAAAGGAGAAGAAAGTAATTGACCCAATAAAATGTGGGGCATGAGCAAATTGGTCATAGCCCGAGGCTTCTTTGAATTGAAAACCCAACTTTAACATTGGACTATAAAGCCCAAATCCTCAAGCGAACATTGTTGGCGCCAATTATGACATTTATGGTAGACGATCCCATCTAATTTTTAAACTTTAAAACATTTTATTTTTAAATATTTAATTTAATTTAATAAATTTATTCTGATAATAAACAATTTGATATTGTTTAAATATATTTCAAGTTTGAAATCACGTGTGTTAAAAATATTTATTGAAAGATTCACCTATTAAAATGAATTAAACGATACATATCGGATTAATCAAAATAAAATCTTAAAAATTCGTGAGAGTAAAAATAAATTTTCAAGATTTAATATGCGAAAAAAATCAAATAACGGAATTGAGAAAAATTGTTATCAAAGGAAATGTTGTCAATGGCCGGCAATTTAGCTAAATTCCCCTTTCCATCACCAGAACAGAAAGAGCAAAAGCCTTTTAAAAGCCCATCATTCCTACTTCCAAAAAAGCCTGGAATTCCGGTATATCCCTAACATAGTAGGGGATTGCTACTTTGCTTGGCTTACTAAAGGGGAAAAGCAGCAGCACCAGGAATGATTTGCTAATCTTCTTGTCTCTACTTTTATTTGTTAAAAAGGGGATTCCACTAAAGCAAAAACAAATGAAGCTTAAACAACTAGAAAGCCTTTTAGGCGATCTTCAACAATTCTCAAACCCAAAGGTCTTTCTCTTGCCGTTGAAAAAAGCCCAGAATTTGTTAACTATGGTGGTAGTTATTGAATCAGTTCGTCGTGGTTTATCTGTTTAATTTAATGCAGGTGGAGCTCGAACAGTACCCAACTGGACCTCATATCGCTTCTCGCTTGCTTTACACTGTATGGACTAATTTTTCTCTTCTGGGTCTTCATTTTCTCGGGCTAATGGCTAACAGGTCATTGAGATTTTCTCTTTGTTTATTTTTTCCTTTTAGGCTGAGAATTCGTTTGAGGATATTAGCAACAAGGTGGTGGCAGATTTTGGTTGTGGATGTGGCACTCTAGGCGCTGCTGCTGCTCTCTTGGGTGCTGAGTAAGTAAACCCATTTTCTCTGTCTTTGTTGATTCCTTGACCTGAGCGCAGGTTTCTGGCATTGATATGGGTTTTCTTGTTGCTTTGAAATAGGCAGGTTATTGGCATTGATATTGATTCTCAATCTCTTGAAATAGCTTCTATGAATGCTGAAGATCTTGAGGTGCTTTCCCCTTTTTGTTGATTTTGATGTAATAGTATTAAGTCCAGAGCTTTTTATTGGCCTGAGTCAATTATTGTAACACCTGTTTATCCTTTACCTTTTTATCGTGCATCTTGCTTTTAATATCTGCTAGTTAATTTCGTTGTTTACTAACTTTACTTCATGATTTACGTGCTTCTTGATGTCTTTCTTGCGTTGCTTTCCTGATTGAACTGCAGTTGGACATAGATTTTGTTCATTGTGACATCAGTGGTCTAGGATGGAGAGGTAACAGTTCCTTCCCTTCCCTTTCCTCTCTGCCCCTCTGTGTCTTCGGAGATGAAAACATAATCGCTATTTTTTTTATTTTTCCCGGAAAAGTTACTGGTCATTCTGATACTGATACAGACAACCTATCCTCTTTAGGCGATGGAATCAATGGTTAGTTGCAGACAATGGTTTTCACTGGCACAGTGGAATATTTTGGGTGATTGAATATATGGCAACTGTATATAGCTAGTCATTTTCATATGCATATATTTATAGCGACATGGCTGATTAGATCTATGATAATTCAACTTGTTTCTTCTCTGGCTTCAATATATATTTATGCGGAAGATGCTCTATAAATTGAATGTATATGTTACTTTCTGGCCACAATGTCATGTTTACTGAATTAATTGAGAGAAACATAGTACAAACGTTTAAGTTTAAAATAATACACATGTTTAAATGGATGTTCTAGTGACTATTTGTTAATCTTAAGTTGTGATTTTTGTCTTCGTCTTATGGTTTCACTCCGTTTTTAGGTCAAATTGTTGATACTGTTGTGATGAATCCTCCATTTGGAACTCGAAAGAAGGGTGTTGACATGGATTTTCTATTTGTGGCATTGAAGGTTGAACTGTTGATCGATTCAAATAAAAAAAAATCAATCCATCTTTTTTTTCTTCCAGTGCTTATATGACTGATAGGCGTATTATTCATATCTTGTATGTGCCAGGTAGCTTCTCGAGCTGTTTATTCCTTGCATAAGACCTCGACAAGAGATGTAAGTAATTTGCTTTGAAATTTCTCCTAGTCGAATAGAAATCTATTAGGAATGCTTGCTGTGTCCTTGATTTAAAGTGTCGGATTCAAAGCTAAAATAACAAATTCTCTATTTATTAACGTTGACAAACATACGTTGTCCGGCATGGCATGTATTAGAAAGTCTAGCCTTATCATGGAGAAAGTAGTAGTTTGCTCTTATCTTTACTTGTTGGTTATGTTTATACCATCAAAGCTGTCTTTTCTACTAACATTTAACAACATTATTTATCTGGTTCGAATATCTAATCGAGTTGTCTCATGTCGTCTGTTTCATTTATGCAAAGAAATTTCAGTTGCATGTTATCTTTGCATCAGGATTATACTGTGTCTAAGAATTGCAATAATTTTTTTTCTTTTCTTTACTCTAGTATATCAAAAGGACCGCCTCAAGGGACTTAAATGCTAGCAGCGCTGAGGTCTTGTGCGAGGTCAGTAAAAGAAGCTTCACAATTTACTGACATTTCGATTTTAAACCACAAAATGTTTGTCATTGCTTTGCCGAGTTGCTTTTGTTTAATCGAATATTTACCTTACTCTTATATTTTCTTATCCCAATCCCACTCCCCCGTTTCATCTCCAGCTCCGTTTTGACGTTCCGCAACTATACAAATTTCACAAGAAAAAGGAGGTGGATATCGCCGTGGATCTATGGCGATTCGTTCCCAGACGGAGTCGTGGGAAGGACGATTAACTTTGGAAGTGCAGTTTAGGACCATGCTTGAAGAATAACTTGTTTATTTCTAGTATGTTAATTTAAGACACTCGGTTAAATTTCTATATATCAGTTTCCTAGTAGTGTTCTTAAACATGCAATATCCCCCTTGTTCTTAAATTTTAAAACATTTATTAAATTTATATATTCTTAAAATATTTAAACTCAAATTATATCTAAATATCTGATTTTGTCGCACCGACTGACAACATTTTATGTGAAAATATATGTTCTTGAAGATTGTTTAACAAATGATAAAAAGGGTGGAACGGTAAAAGATTTGTTAATAAATTAATTAATTTGGTGCTCGAATCTTAATGAAAAAGGTAATTTTTCGATTAACTCGTGTTTCCATTTTACAAAAATAAATTGGAGAAGATACGATTCTCATACAAATGAATGCCGCTAATATAGAAAACTTGGCTTAAACACATAAAAAAATAATCTGATTATCTTGTCCAAAATTAGTTCCTACCTCCATTACTCGAAATGCTTCCCACTGTTGTCAATGGAAGTTCCTATGTTTCCTGATCTCATGCTTCAGTTTCCATTTTAGTATTTCCCGTTGTCTCTCCAAGCATAAACCGAACAAACCTTCCAACTTTTATGTTCTCTCCAAGTGCTGCAACAATTTGCGTTACCAAGTCTTTAACCAACAGGTTGTCGTTCTTGATGAAGGGCTGTTCCAAAAGGGAGACCTCTTTGATACCGCACTTGCCAAGCCTTTCTTGCGGAGAAACTCCTGAGCTTTAACAATGTCCCCTCCAGCCTCCGAGAGTGCTTTCTTGCATCATTCCTGCTCCCGTTTCCTCACGGAGCTGCTTTACTAGTGCTGGTGATATAGTTGCTGCTGTTCATGCATATGAATCAAAAACAGAGGGACACATGATGAATGTCAAAAATATAAATATCATGAATGTTTAAACACAAACGCAATTGAAATTGAATGTCGCATTTGACGTGGAATGATATTTTCTTAGAAGTGCTAGATTTTGGGGGTTTCTTATCATTAAGTAGTTATCTCTCCCATCTTTTTAGGTATACACCCATGTTGAAAAGCACAGGCAAACAACACATTTTTTCAGCTTTAAACTAAATATAAACCTTCAGTCACATTTTCATCGTGTATAGAGCCATTTGAATCAGTAATCTCGTTGTTCTTTTGAGGTTCAGAGTTTGCCTCATCGATTTCTGAAGTAGGACCGTCACCCTTCGAAACTGGTGTCTCTATATGCACTTCCTCCTTGGTACCCTCGGATTGATTCTCTTCCTCTTCAACTGCTTCACTTCCTGAAGACAATCTTATCATCGGCCGATTCTTGTGATGGATCAAGGCTTGCATTGTTTTCCACTGTATATGCACAAAATCAGCAATAAGATATAGTAATAAATCGTATCCCCAAGTTCTCTTAACTATTTTTTTCCTAAAAGAACCATTGTTTAGTTAGAAACGACACCTTTATAGCATAAGACAGGTCATCGTTATGAATTTCTCATAAAATAGGTTTGATACCAGTGTAATGATTATCTTACCTTCAGCATCTTTTGTATCAGCAACATTTGGTTGTACATCTGTGCTAGCAACACTGCCCTTTTCATCTGGAATAACTTCAACTCCATCTCGAACAGATGCAGCAGAGGGAGTCCTATCCTCAGCAAGAGGTGTTTTGGCTTGTTCATCGGGAATACTTATGGTTTCATCATCTTCAACTGACGCAGCACCCAGAGTTTTATTCTCAGCTACGGGTGCTTCCGCTTCTACATCATCTTTTGCTGTAGAATCTTCATCAACTGAATTTTCAGAGGTCACTTGATCAACTACTTCTCCAGATGATCCAGCTGTTTCATTGCTTTCCACCACATCCACTAATGAAACTTCTGCACTACTTTCCAGAGACAAAGCTTCAACACTTGTCTTTTTCCTTCTCTGTGGTTTCTTCATCCTTGATTACAATATCAGCTACTGTATCTGTTTCCTTTTCAACCGTTTCATCCGCTGCAGTAGAGACAGTGGTTGTCTCCTCATCAACCGCTGCTGGTTGAACCTCTATTTTCTCCGACTTTTCTCTCTGATCCAAAAATGCAGCAATCTCCTTATTCTGACGAAAAGCCAGCAATAAAGGGATTTGTTGCAGCATACACCACACCTTGGCTAACCTGTGAGTCCAACTTGTGATCATCTCCTTCTTTCTTCATCGTCAAAGTTACCGATCCCCTTGTGATGCGCAAAACACAAACTTTGACTTCTTGGCCAATTTGCAGCGATGAGTTCCCCATCATGCTCGTAAGTCCGTCATCCGCTTCTTCTTCGTGGGGCAAGAATCCTTCTTCTCCCTCAGGAAGAGATATGAATGAGCCAGACCTAGTTAAATTCTTCATTGTGCCATCCTACTCTTGTACCTTGACAAATTTCGAGCTTTTCACATCCCTTTTTTGGCTGGACCTTGAAGTATTCTTCCTCGGAGGCCTTTCCCTATCAGTAGTGGTAGGGCCATCTTTGCGCTTACCAGCATCATCGTTTTCACGCATGGAAAGAGATATCCTCCCACTCTCAGTGTTTACTTCAACTAACCTCACCTTCACCTCTTGTCCAACAGAAACAACACTTGCAACATCCTTAACAAAGCTATCGCTCAACTGGGAAACATGCACCAGTCCTTCCGTGAAAGCTCCAACGTCAAGAAAAGCACTAATTGGTTGGATTGATCTTACTTTCCCAGTAAACATTGCACCAGGAATAAGCTCCTCATTCTTTACAGGAGGCATCTCACTTTTTCTCACAGGTCTAGTTCGTTTGGATTGAGCTGGAGCAGGTGTAGAACCAGGTGGGCTAGTTGATTGTTCGCTTGTTTCAACTGAATCCAATTGTGTTTCGGATCCTCCATCAGAAACTTCTGTCACAGAAGAATCAGATTCCTCCACTGCAACATCAGTCCCTGAGGCTGATAAATGAATCCCCACTTTTCCATGTAAGGCACGCTCTATTCTGTAGTTTCGAAATGAACAAACAAAGGTTGATAGAGGTAGGACGAATCTTGGTGAGGGTAAAGCATATCGCGTGTTTTTCCTCGATGAACTGCATCTTGTTAAACTAGTGTTCTTCCTTACTGTCCAGGCAGCACCAGGAATGAATGTAATGTTGCTAGCAGAACATGGGATCACAGGAGTCATGTTGACTTGAATGTAAATGTTAAACGTACAGTCTAAGCTAAAATAAGAGTTTCATCTGTATCTTCTCCTGCAAGAACATGAATGATGGGCTCAAAAACGTAAACTTCCTGAGTTTGTGATAAGCCATGAGATGTCCAAGCAACAGTTATGCTAAAACCAATGTGGCTAATATCTTCTATAAATCTGTCAAGCCGATAGGTATTATTCCATCGATTAAATCTGTCAAGCAATGTTCAAATAAGTGCATGAAACGGCAAGCATACTCGATCTAGCTGACAAATATGCCTTTTTAAGCTGTTTCACAAACCGTTAAGTGCTCAATATTTCAGGCAGATTTGATTAACAAGTACAGCCAAAGTAAAAGAATTCAAAACTGTTCGCCATCAATCGTCTGGCTGTTCTAGCAGCTGTGGAAAACCTTTTATCTTCAAATTGAGGTAATAAAATCAACTACAAACAAAAAGAAATTCAATAATTCCTTTTCTTCTCTCCTATTTTAAAGGGGATTTCAAAGCAAAGAAAAAATATCCAAATTATATAACATTGAGCATTTGAACAACATTCTATGAACTAACCGTTCTTATATAGGTGCATTAAGAACCAATAAGACACTTGGATGAAAACTAACCAAATTCTAGCTTAATGCCATAGTTCCCTCCCAATTAAATAAACAAGCAGAGCAGATTTCATTTCCAGAACACCATAAAAATTCAAACTTTGATATGATTCCTGCTGAACTGAACCGAAACAAGGAAAATTAACAACCCAGAATTAATAAGCGGAAGAAAAATGAAAAAGTAAGCCTTAATGAAATCATTCATCGCATTTGTTTCTCACCTCTAATGATTCAGTGTTAACTGATTAAGTAAAACAGTGGTCACTGATTTAATGCTGACTGATTTTAAATGATTCAGAGTCATTATCAAATAACATTTTACATCTAATTCATACATAACCTCATAATCATTCAACATTTGAATCTTTCGGCACTTAATCATTCTGGACTAAACAAACAACCTTAAGTTAAAAACAGTGATCCATTAGCTTATAATCAAGCAAAAATTATACCTTTTTGAGAGATAAAGCTGTCTGGGAATAAGTTTCAGGACGAACTAAGAAGTAAGAACGCATGGTGTTGTTTTGGTAATATTGATAGAGGCTCTTCCTCATGAGAAGTAGAACGAAATGTGGCTTTAAATCCTTATCTATGGTTTTTCTTCATGGATATATATAAATATATATGAAGTACGATGATGATTATGGGCTCATCTTGCCTACAAGCTTTACTCTCAGCCTTTAGTTTTTGATCGGTTTAGTCGTTGTGATGGACTTACATTGGTTTGGACAAAAGACGAAAACCCGTAGTACTTCGTGAATATAACATAACTTAGTACATCGTGGTCAGCCCAACATGATTAATCTATGGTTACGGTGCAGCTACAGATGATTATGGGCTAAGTCAAGTTTTTATTCCAATCGAACTTGAATGGATTTAGATTTAGAGAAGTTCCACCTAACTTGAAATCTAATTAGATTTTTTTGATAAAAATTTGTATTAGACTTGACATAAATAAATATATAAAAATTCTTATTTTTATTAGATAAAATAAATATTTAATTAAAAACATAGAAAGTGGGTATTATAGTAATTATTCTTAAATATATAAAAGTAAATTATAGTATTATTCTCGAGTCGGATAAAATTCTTTTTACTCTAAACTTGAACTCAATCTAACTTTATTCTTAAACAAAAATGAGTTGATCTGATATGAATCCAAATTTTATAAAATCTACAATCAATTCGAGTTAAAACTCATCAGGTTGATGTCAAATCTCTGGGTGCAGCTCACAAAATTGATCATCTTCCATTGGCATCAATGATCTTCTTAGAATATGACAACATGTATACATGCATACACATGTGAAGATAGTTGCTGCTGTCACTTTCTTGACTTATTATTTTTGTGCGAACGACAAAATTCAAAACCCATTTCTGCTACCTAACTTCTTTATATAATAAACTATGTATGATGTGGTAAAGAGCTCCATTATGAAAAGTATTCTATATCATATGTAATATGTTAATCGGCAACATGCATGCGTGCAAACAAGGTGGCTAGCTAGCTAGCTAAAATACAAGCTTTTAGGTTTAGGCAACATAAACAGAAACCAAATTTCATAATCATTCATTCATTCATCGTCAAGTAATATTCCCATCCGTAGGAGTCATGACCTTGTACCTTTCGTAATACTGCCATCCACATCATATATCATATACGGTTGATTTTAGGATATTATATATATATATATATATATAACAAAATCATAATTTTGAAAATTATAAAAATTAAAATAAATTTGATTATATTAACCAATCATTTTCTTTTATAATTATTAAAGAACATCATTAAATATTAAAAACAAGATCATATAAGAAAATAATTAAAAAATTAAAAAAAAATAGCATGGTCTATTTAGACTTGTTACAAGCATCTGGTTATATAAGAATTAATTTAAAGATTCAAATCAATGATAATTTAATAAAATAATTAAAGAGACGTAGTCAATTTCAATAATAAAAGTATATATATAAAAGTTAGTTGGACTGATATCAACATTTAAAAATATTGTTGATTTATCTAGAAAGACATAGTGTATTTTAAAGAGAAATTAACATATAAAACTAGTTGGACTGACATCTGCATTTGAAAATGTTGTATCGAAACTACCAAATAATAGTGTATGAATCATTTCAAGATCTTCCATAATAAAGCCCCTTTTTTTCAATTTCATAAGCCATTAAAATGTTGTTATACATTTTTTTTATCGTACCCTAAAATTTATGAATTGGTATTTCATTTTTTTGTTATAAAATCTAATACTTTCAAGGTTTAAATTTAAAGCACCATAAGTGTATAATCTAATTTATTATTAAAATTTAAATCGTGTAAGAGAATTACACATAAGAAAGTAACAAGTGTTGAATATTTAAGCAGCACCTTTCATCATGTGGTAAAGGATCTTTCCTTGAAGTTTCCATTTCCTCTTAAGCAATTTCTTTTTTCCAGTTGCATTACTTTATTATTAAAAGGGGTGCAATAAGATCTTACACCTAAGCTAAACATGGATTTAATGATATTTTTTAAAACTAATTTCCTCCTTGGCTCAGCTCCCTGCTCAACTGGTTAAAGAGATCTAGGTATCTTCAAAGTTTGTATTATAAACTCAATCATGCAAGGTTTCTATTTAATTAATTAAAGTATGAGATCTTGGTCACTATCTTGAGGCTGTAAGCTGTACAGTTGGTTGAATATAATATAGTTTACTACACATGCAAAATTTTGGGTATATTTATAATTTATGCAGACTTTGGAGGTGTTGGATGTGTATTTGTGTGTATAGCGATATATGAAGGAAACAATGGAATCTTACAAATATATATTATATGATATGGTCTGGATGAGATAGGCAACTCATTTAATCTCCAGGGTTGTACAAATGAAGGTTAATCTTCTAAAACACTTGAATAAGACTTTAATATTTTTGCATCTATTTATATAAAGATTTAAAATTTTAAAATAATCAAATAAAGGTTTAGTCATATTTTTTTAATAAAGACCCTCATCTGAACATATTATACCCTTATTTAACCTTTTTAAAAAATTAAACCTGTATTTCAATAGATTGTTATTTCAATAGATTTAGAAAAATTACACCCTTATTTAACCTTTTTAAAAAATTAAAACTGTGTTTAAACATTTAAACTAACATTAAAGACATTCTTGTTATACGGAGATATGAGCTAAATTGTATATCAATGTTAAAAAATGTCACAGTCAAGAGCATGGAATTATAATATTTTAAAAGTGTAAAGTTAAATCATCAATAAAATATATAAAAATTATATAAAAATTTAAAAACATTCCATCGTACTCTAGCTCTCCATGTCACTTTATAATTTTATAATTTTTATTGATCTTGATTTTTCGAATGATATAAACATAAGCTTATTTATTATTATATGTTATATTATATATATATGTGTTAGACTCTGCGATTTCCTAGGGATTATATTTGGTTTGCAAATCGTGTGAAGTAATTGCAACCTGTCTGTAAGGCTGTCGCATGTGCCTCAAATCTATTGCAGATATCTTCTCTACGCATCTCTCCACTACACTTTGTCCTTTTTTTTTATTATTTTTACTATAATAATAATTATTATTATTCATAGCTAATCATTTCACACCAAATCAACACACATAATAAATCGGGTCAAATCTAATTTTTGATCGATTCCGTAATTATAACTTTTTTTATCTGATAATTTAATTTTTTAAGATCCAAAATTTGATCTTTAATCTAAATATAATTTTTTTATTTGACAAATAAGAAAATACATGAAAAAAATATAAAGAGAAAAATATTATAATAATTATCTTTAAATATATAAATTTAAATTATATTATTATTTCAAGTCGGATCAAACATTTTTACCTTAAATCCAAACCGAATCTCATTCTTAAAAAAGGCTTATCTTGAATTCAATTTTTAAAAAAATTAATCCTAAAAATATCAGGCTATGATTCATCAAATTTAAGTCAAATTATCATTCCTACACATAAGTCTCACTTTTATTTGTTTATTTTTTAATCCTTTTTTAAGAATTAAGAATTATTAAGTGCATCATACTATTATTATCTAATTTATCATTATTAATTGTTAATTTTTATTAAATTACATGCCACTTGAGTTAATGTTTAATTAACTTACTAAAATATAATTATTTCCTGATTTTGTATTAGCTACAAATCTCATATAGGCTGGCAGCTTTAGGCTAAACAATTTAGCCTATAGAAATATTTTATATAATTTTTATTATGATCAATGATTGTTAACATTTGACTAGTTGGTGTTTGGGAGAATATTCGTGACTCAGCAGTGAACGATTACACGTGGCAAAATCGAGTGAATCCATGGCAAGTGGGAAGTCACATTGTTTAAATAATAAAAAATAATTTTGTATTTCTTTTCTTCGAATCATATGATTCATGACATGGAAGTAAATATTGCCCGGACATGTCATCCCCGTTATTAAATTTTTAGTTCATAATAAATTCGTTCTTTAAAAAAAATCATCTACAATAATTTTAAAATTTTATATTCGAACAATAATGATCTTTAAGGCTTATTATTATAATTTAAAAGGGTGAGATAAAATTTATATTAAGTATTTATAATTTTATTTGGATTTTAAACTTTAATTTTACAGATATAATTGATATATTGAGATAAAATCAGTTTAAGATTTTTCATAATAAAATGATTAATTTTTAAACAACTTGATTACATCCTCAAGCTATAACCCTCATTTTAAATTAATATTAAACTTTTAGATGTTTAAAATTCATTCTCAAAGTATCAGTATATGCTAAGTAAGTAGTTTGTTTGTACAATTGTTACAAAAATTATATGATAATATTGTGTGAAATAAATGATAATTAATGTTGAATTTAAATAAAATAATTTTTAACTTTGAGTTATAAAAAGAATCATTGAAATTTGATAAAATAAAAATAAAAATAAAAATTAAAGAGCATTTTAATACTATTCTAAGTAATAATCTAAGAGGACATGATACAATATTAATTATCGTTTGTGTCAGATCATATTATTGCATAATATACATCAATATTTACATGACAATTAATACTTTCATAAAGATTGTATTAATAAGAGGGATGATTAGTATGTACTGATTATTTGATGATGAAATTAAAACATTTAAAAATTTACGAATCAATTTAGAATGAGAGTTAATTTAAAGAAAAATTAAAATATTTAAAAATTTGATGATTAATTTAGAAAAAGAGTTAGGGAACATATTATAAAATAAACTCTAATTAAATATAAAATCTAAAATTCCAAAACTGTGGGGGTCTTCTATAAGATCAAATAATAAATGGATACGTGGACTGAAAAGGGAGCCAAAAGGTCTTGAAAGTTGTGATGAAATGTGAACTATTATTATAAAAACCCTATTTTCATAATGATTGATGCTTAACTAAACTCATTATATTATATTAAATAAAAGAAAGCTTTTGCCTGCAGCATTTACCTCACAATGCCATGGTTTAGGGTAAAATAAAAAAAAGTTCACATGTCCTCTATAAGAATGACCCACAAATCATGCATTAAACAGTTCAAATTATATTTAGCATTTATTAATCAAATACATTATGTTTCTACCTTACTTAGACATAATTCTATCAAATTAAAGGCTATTCTTTAATAATAATTTAACAGAAAGTCAATTAATAACATTAATGATTATTTCAAAAAAAGCAATAAGAGATTAAATGTCAAAACTTCAAAGAATACAGGGACCGATTAAAGAATTATACCATAAGAAGGTAATATAATGAGTCGGAAGTGCATTAAAATCTATGTATATACAGATATACAATCTCATCTCTGATAAATCTGTACAAAATCTGATCCAGCGATGCAATAATTACTTGGGTTACAAAAAGCTTAAAAATGGGCTGCCGTGGATACACCCTTTGATTCCTCTCAGTCTCTCTCTTTGCTGCAAAACACACCGAGCTTTGGATTTGCAAAGCTCAAAAAACTATCCCTTCTGATCTGATCAACTAACTTGAATCTCTTCGTTGTCACCGTCGTCTTCGTTTCTCCGTCGAAGTGAAGAGTAGGTAGCAGTTATTTCGGAGAACTAAACATGGAGAGGGGAGGTGGTTCATCGTCTTCGAGGAAAGGCAAGAAGGGTAATTCGGACAGGCAGGCTAAGCAATCCCAGAGAGGGCTGGGTGTTGCTCAATTGGAGAAGATCAGATTACATGGACAAGTGGCTTCTTCTTCCTACCAGCAGCTCCCTCGTTACCCTGCAAATTTCAACCAGGTGATTAATTCTTCTGTTTTTTTTCCAGCGATTGAAATGATTGGAGTTTGAGGAGAAATGGTTTTTCTTTTTTGGGTGATACTGTACGTGCAGGTAGATGATATGAGAGTGCAAGCAAGGTATTCATCAATGGCATCATCGTCATCTTTTTCTTATTCATCATCTTCCTCAGCACCTTCTTATGGTTTCCAGTACCCAAACATGATGGTAAGTGAACCAGCTACCATCAAATCCATTTTTAATTCAACACACACACACAAAAAAGTGATGGGCCATTCACTACCAAAAGCTTAGTCTTGTCAATGGATCCTTTGTTATTTGCTCATAATTTTACTTCTAGGTACTGCTAACCCTAGTTTACTAGTCGCAAGAACTCATCGGCATTATCAAACATGAATAAATATGTTATATGGATCCCTGGGTCCCGGTATAAGCATCAGATACAGATTTTATTAATATTCTTTTATGTATTTAAAGTATCTTTAGAAGTCACTGAGTATTGAAACAAATACTTTACTTACAAATGAAGAGTACGAGTAATATAGCATTGCAGTGAAATAAATCAAGTATCTGTCAAATTTACTTGAAATATTATTACAGATGGGGCTCGGCGAATATGATCAAAGAGCAAACTTCAGCTATGGTGATTCCCAACCTAGTACTACAGCAAGGTGCATATACATGTATATATTTCACAGATCAAAGGCTTTGTTTCTTTGGTTATAATTTCTTAATGTTTCAAATCATTTTTGCAACAGTTGGAACCCCAGCAGTGGCATCCTCGAGAGCCAACATTTTACACAACCGAACATGACCAGACAACTCCTAAACCCACATGTTGAGGTTTGTTATATGTACACATGAAACATCCTAGTTCCATGGCATGTCAAGATTCTGCTTCTTTTTCATTGATTTTTGTCTGTTTTTTCTTATAGGATTCACATTCGAGGAGCAAGATCCATAGGAGCAAGTCATTGGGGTCGAGCAGTCAAAATTCCGAATCAAGTGACACGCAAGAGCTCGATTTGGAGCTGAGACTGTCTTTGTAATCAGTAATTTTTCGTCGGCCAACTTGATTGAAAGTGTTATGCTATTCCTAGATATTGTAAGTTCAAGATAAGTGGTTTGATTCTTGCAATTCATCATATATATACATACAAGTTGATCATGGAAGTTGTTTGAAATTTTCATTTGAAAGGAAGCTTTGTTGGAAATAAAACACTCACACAAACAACTTTTATTGAAACTCAAACAAATATTACAAGAGTACTCTCACTCAAAAAACAAGAACTACAACTCACTCTTATAAGACTTTGCTTCTTCACTCACTTAGAAGCTCTTAATTTTTCTTTATGCTTAAAACTAAAATGGGAAGGGGTATTTATACTACTCAAGAACAATCCTACACCACACAAATAAACTAATTTAAACCATTACAAATTCAACAAATATCTAACTCTCACCTAACTAAATTGATGTAAGCAATGACATCATTAATTAAATGATGTAAGCAATGACATCTTTAATTAAATGATGTAAGTAATGACATCAATTTAGTTTGGGTTTGGGTTTAGGCTCCCATAATGGATCAAGTTTATGATCCAACACCCTCCCTTAAACTTGATCTCGTGACCCCTAGTAGGTTCCTTAATCTTAAGAAGTCTTCGCTGGTCAGTGGCTTGGTAAAAATATCAGCAACTTGATCTTGTGACTTCACATATTCAACTTCCACATCTTTTCTTGCAACACACTCCCTTATATAGTGGTAGCGAATATCAATGTGCTTGCTTCGATCATGGAATACTGGATTCTTCGCTAAGGCAATGGCTGACTTGTTGTCGACACAAACCTTGGTAGGCTCTTCTTGTATCAAACCAATCTCCTTCAATAGATTTCTAAGCCAAATTGCATGACAAACACATGAGGTAGCAGCAACATATTCCGCTTCACAAGTGGACAATGTGACAATCGGTTGTTTCTTTGACATCCATGTGAATGCAATATCTCCCATGAAAAATACGAATCCAGTAGTGCTCCTTCGATTATCTATGTCTCCACCCCAATCACTGTCGCTATATCCAACAAGCTTGTAATCATTAGAAACTGAATAGAACAAACCAAAGTCAATTGTACCTTTCAGATAGCGAAGAATTCTCTTTGCAGCTTTAAAATGGGTGGTTGTTGGGGATTCCATGTAGCGACTAACCAATCCAACTGCGTGAAGAATATCGGGTCTCGTGCAAGTTAGATAGCGTAGACTTCCTACCAAACTTTTGAAGAATGTTGGATCTACACTTTCGCCTTCTTCATGTTTGGTCATCTTGATCCCGTATTCTGCCGGTGTGCTTATTGGCTTACAGTTCTCCATCTTGAACTTCTTCAGTATCTCCTTTGCATAGCTTTCCTGTGAAATGAAAATTCCATCATTTTGTTGCTTAACTTCAATGCCAAGGTAGTACGCCATGAGCCCCATGTCTGTCATCTCGAATTCTTTCATCATCACATCCTTGAATTCATTAAACATGCTTGGGTTGCTTCCAGTGAAGATCAAATCGTCCACGTAGAGGCACACAATCAAAATATCTTCATCTTTGATCTTGATATATAGAGCATGCTCGTAGGGACATTTGTTGAAGCCATTCTCTTGGAAGTACTTGTCGATTCGGCTATTCCATGCCCTTGGTGCTTGTTTTAGCCCGTAAAGAGCCTTCTTCAACTTCAACACCTTGTCTTCATGCCCTTTGACTTCATAGCCTGATGGTTGCTGAATGTAAAGTTCCTCTTCAAGAACTCCATTTAGGAAGGCGGACTTTACATCCATCTGTTGTATCTTCCACTTGTTTTGAGCTGCCAAAGAAATGATTAGTCTGATAGTCTCCAATCGAGCAACAGGAGCAAATACCTCATCATAGTCAATTCCAGCCTTTTGACTATAGCCTTTAGCAACTAGCCTCGCCTTGTGCCTTTCAATATCTCCTTTGGCATTTTGCTTTGTTTTGTACACCCATTTGACACCTATCGCCTTATGTCCCTTGGGAAGTAAGGTAAGTTCCCATGTGTCATTCTTCTCGATGGCCTTGATTTCTTCGTCCATCGCATCTCTCCATTTCTTTTCTTGTACCGCTTCTTGAAAGCTCACTGGTTCACAATCGGCAAACAAACAAAATAATGTAAGATTATCTTGTCGTTCAGTTACCTCATAGAGATCTCTAAGGCTTCTTGTGCGTTGCACAACTCTTTCACTTTGACTCCCACTTGACGATGATGAAGGTGATGAGTCTCCTTGAGTGGTTGATGTTGGTGAAGTGGGTGGAGTTGCAAGCTCTTGTTGAGATTCATCTAGTTGCTCCCTCATTGTCTGCTCATCTTCTTCAAACTGAGGAAAGAAATTGAAGTCATCTGTATGAGAGTTAAAATCCCATTCTCCTTCTTCGTTGAAGACAACATCTCGACTAATCACAAACTTCTTATTGTCTGGATTGTATAACTTGTAGCCCTTCGAATTAGCATCATAGCCGATGAAGATAAAACTCTCGCTTTTATCATCAAGCTTCGTTCTTCTCTCGTCTGGTACGTGAACATGGGCTATACTTCCAAAGGTTCTCAAGTGGGAAATGCCAGGCTTTCTTCCACTCCATGCCTCTTGCGGTGTCTTTCCCCATACACTTCTTGTTGGAGATCGATTTGACAAGTAGACTGCACACGATACTGCTTCCGCCCAAAATTCTTTGGGTAGTTTCTTGCTTTTGAGCATGCTTCGTGCCATGTCGAGGATTGTTCTATTCTTTCTTTCTACCACACCATTTTGCTGGGGGGATCTAGGAACTGTCATTGGTCGACGAATTCCATTTGCTTCACAGAACTCTTGAAACTCCCTGGAAGTAAATTCTCCACCTCGATCGGATCTCATGGCTTTGATCTTTCTACCGCTTTCTCTCTCCACTGCTGCTTTGAACTTCTTGAAGACTTCAAAAACTTCTGACTTCTGTTTCAAGAAATATACCCAGGTTTTTCTTGAAAAATCATCAATGAAGAGAAGAAAATAGTTATTGTTACCGAGAGAGCTTGGCTTGATCGGTCCACACACATCGGTATGGATGAGCTCAAGTGGCTTCTTAGCTCTTGTCTCTGACTCCTTTGGAAAGCTTTTCCTGAATTGTTTCCCGACTAGACACCCTTCACAGAGCTTGTCAGGATGGTTGATGTGAGGTAGTCCTTTCACCATCTCCTTCTTAGATAATAGCTCTAGACCTCCAAAATTGAGATGCCCAAATCGAAGATGCCAAAGCCATGATGCATCTTTGTAGCAAGCTTTCAGGCACTTTGCAACATCATTTTGTATGTTGATCAAGAACATTCTATTCTTTGACATCGACACTTTAGCAATGAAGTTATTCTTATCATCTTTTATAGAAAGATTATAATTATTCATATGAATATCATAACCTTTCTCTACCAGTTGCCCTAAACTTAAAATGTTACTTTTCATATTGGGCACATAGTAGACATTTGAAATAAATTGATGTCTCCCATCTTTCAAACGGATAAGAATGTTACCTCTCCCTTTCACTGCTATTGTGGAATCATCTCCAAACGAAACATTTCCACTTACTGACTCGTCTAGCTCCACAAACATGTCTTTCCTTCCACACATATGATTGCTTGCACCACTGTCAAGATACCAGGAATTTGCTTGGCCACCATTAGTTTCCTTTCGTGCTAGAAGAAGAGTTTCTTTGCCATCTGTCTTTTCCTCCACGTAATTGGCCTTCTCCTCAATTTTGTTGTTGGGAGCTCTACATTCTGAAGCATAATGCCCAAATTTTTGACAATTATAACATCGAATTTGAGATTTGTCATACTTTGAGTTTGGATTAATTCTTCCACGGCCTCGTGTTGAGCTTTCTCCTTTCTCATAGTTATTGTTGGAATTGTTATTGTTGTAATTCCAGCCTCGTCCACGACCTCGACTTCCACCTCGTCCATGGCCTCTACCTCTGCCTTGGCCACGTTGGTTTCTATCATTGCGTTGGCTCTCATGCATATCCTTGAGTTGCAGCTTGAGGAGTTGCTCAGTAAACTCATGCTTCTTTTTATGCTTCTCTTCGTATGCTTGCAATGATCCTTGGAGCTGTTTGATCTTCATTTCTTCCAAGTCTTTAGTTTCTTCAATCGTCACGACGATGTGCTCAAATTTGGGATCCAACGAACGGAGTATCTTCTCTATTATCCTCACATCGTCTAACTTTTCACCATTTCTTTTTAATTGATTAGAAACAGCTACTACTCTTGAGAAATAATCTGAAATAGACTCAGATGCTTTCATGTTTAAGGATTCGAATTCACCTCTTAATGTTTGGAGACGAACCTTCTTCACTTGCTCGGATCCTTTATAAGAGGTTTGCAGCTTCTTCCACGCTTCCTTGCTAGAGCTTGCACTTGAAATCTTTTCAAAACCATCATCATCTAATGCTTGATAGATGAGGTAGAGAGCCTTCTTGTCTCTCTTTCTTGAATCCTTCAAAGTTGTCTTTTGATCTGGTGTAAGAGTAGCAAAAGCATCATCATCCGCAGGCTCGTTATAGCCTTTCTCTATGATATCCCACACATCTTGTGATCCAAGAAGTGTCTTCATTTTGATACTCCAATTGTCGTAGTTGTTGTTGTTGAGTGTCGGAACTTGGAATGGTGTCATACCATTTGCCATATCTCTCAATATAATGAGATTTTGTAAAATCCGATTGCACGGATGAATCCGGAACGATGAAAAAAAAACTTTGGAGGGACTTGGACAACTCGGTCAAGGGCTCCAACTCGGCTGACTCGGCTCAACTCGGTGAGTCAACTCGATTTTCTGGCAGCAGTCTTCCGACGATGCGTGGCGGTGCGTCAGAACTCAGATTGAGAAAATTCTGGCGGCGTCGTATTCCTCTCGTCGAGACCTTCGATCTTTCCAACTCGCTCTGATACCACTTTGTTGGAAATAAAACACTCACACAAACAACTTTTATTGAAACTCAAACAAATATTACAAGAGTACTCTCACTCAAAAACAAGAACTACAACTCACTCTTATAAGACTTTGCTTCTTCACTCACTTAGAAGCTCTTAATTTTTCTTTATGCTTAAAACTAAAATGGGAAGGGGTATTTATACTACTCAAGAACAATCCTACACCACACAAATAAACTAAT